GCGAAGAGCGGCAATGTGTCCGTGGGCCTGGACTTGCCGCCCTCGCCGCGGCGCCCCTCGCGTCGCGCCGCCGCGGCGCAACTGGCCCCGCCTGAAAAAGTGGGCGCGGGCGGAGCAGCTCCCCGACCTGCGCGACGGCGACGCCGTTGAAGGTGCCGGCCCGGGGCAGACCTCAAGCAAGTCAGCGGGCGGTCAGACGCAGCTCCGCCGCTGCCCCAGGTCCCCGGCACCTGCCTCGCCGCGCCAGCCGAAGTAAAAGCCTCCGGCGGATCGCCGGAGGCCCCGGGGGCATGGCCACTCCCCCCCGGAGGAAGGCGGCGGCCCTGACCCGGGGGCCGGGGCGCCCCCTCGCCCCGGCCCCAAGTTGCCCCCAGGGGCGTGGTCGCTATTGAAAGGCGTCGGCGACGTTGGCCACCGCCGCCTGCCTCTTCTTGGCCCAGTGGGCGGGTGTGCCGCGGGAGGGGGGCCCTGGCATGCCTTCCCTGCCCCTGCGCTCGCCCTTGCCCCTGCCCTTTCTCGAGCACTTCCAGGGAGGTGGCCCGCTCGGCGATCGAGGCCCGCGCCGGCTGCGGCCGCGCCCCTCGTCGTCGGCGGGCAAGCCCCCCCGCGCCCCTTCGCCGCGGGGGGGGCGGGGCGCGGGGCCAACAGAGTTGAGCGCGGCCTCGGATGGAATGCCCCTCGAAAACGTGACAAGGTCGCCTCCCGCCTCTGGCGGGGTCGAGGCTGGATCCACCTCGGCAGCGCTCCTGAGCGCCGCCGGACCGCGCCCCCTGGAGCCCGCGGCTTCTCGCGGCCCACGGGGGGACTTGCGCGGGGGCCTTCGCGGCGGAGACGTCGCCCTGGGCCGCGCCCCCCGCGGGCGTTTGCCGACGCGCGGCGGACTTGCGGCGCGCGGCGTCCATCTGCATCTTGGCGGACCTCTGGTCCATCCGCTCGCCCCGCCGAAACCCGCGGCGCTCGCTCTCGCCCATCGCCGACGCCCCGCCGTCCGCGACGGCGCTGAGATGCCTTGCTGCTCGCCAGTTGCCGCCGCCGCGGTACTGCTCCACCGCCTTGAACTGCTGCGAGAGCAACCGTTGCCCGCCAACCTCAAGGGCGGCGCCCACCGCGCCCGCCAGTGCGCGCATCTCCTGCTCCTTGCGCTGAGACAGCTTGCCCTGGCAGCTCGACGGGCAGGGGGTCGGCGGCCGGCCCCCCCCGCCAGCTCGGGGCCTTCGCCCTTGTCCATCGCGCCCTCTGCCGAGGCATAATGCGGATGCTACCCCCGAGCGGCGCGGCCGCTTTGCCGCCCGAGAGACGGTCGCGGAGCTTCTCGAGCCGCCGTCTCAGCGCTCGGCCACGCCCGAGCGGGGCCCCCTCGCGAGCGCCGGCCCCGCCACCCTGCAGGCCCCTCGCGGCCGCGGCCAGACGCGTGTCTCTCGACCAGCTGGCTCGGCCAGCCGCTTCTTCTTGTCCTTCCCCTGATTCTGCGACGTCGACGTTGCCTTGCGAGCCCGCGGGGTCGCCTGGTGAACCTCCGTCCGCGTCTCCTCTTGGACAGGATAGCCAAGGAAGGGCAGCCTGGCATGCCGCCGTCGCCTGGCCCGCAGCGCGGCCGCGTCGTGCATGCCCTCGCCGTAGCAGGGCGTCGTGTGATTTGTCTGCGACGGACTGAAGTGGGCCACGGGCGGCCAAACCTCATCTTCGAACTCGATGCTCAAGCGGGCCCTCTCCTTTTTGAGCTCGGCACCCATGGGCGCGCAGGCGAACGCCCGGTCGAAATCGCACCGACAGAAGTGCCCCCGAAGCCGTCCTGGTCCCAGGCGGCAGCCAAGACCTTGAGCGTAACCGGCCCGTCCAGTTCACGCTCGATGGTCGGCGCCTGGCCCTTGCGCGGGCCCTGCCTGTCAATGGCGGAGCACGCGCCATAGTGCCGTTCCGACGACGGGCGGGGAGGGCCAGTCCGCGACCCAACCTCCGGTGGGTTTCGCCCGTCGTCGGGATCCTCCCTTTCCGTGCTGCTGCCAGCCCGACCCTCGCGGATGGCCGAGCGCCGCGTCCCGCGCCGCCCGTTGGGCTTGGGCTTGGGCCTGGGGCGCGAGCGAGCCGCGGCTGGCGCGCTCCTCGCTCGGCTCTGCACGCGGCTAGCCCGAACCCGCTCGGCAAACGTGCCTGAGCCTGCAGGCCGCTGAAACTCACCCGCGCGAGCCTTCATCCGCGTCGGCCGAGATTTCGCCCATGCGGCCGGTTTCCGCATGGTGTGCATGAGTAGACCACCAGCGCCCTTGCCGCACTCCCAGCGGCGAGCGCTGACGGCCTGGGCGGCGGAGGAAGCCTCCCACCCCTAGCTCGCCCCCGCAGGGGGTGGGGAAGATGGCCCGCCCGAGCCCCCGCGGGAGGGCTGGGCCATGCACCTGGAATGAACCCAGATGGGTGCGGAAGGGGATGATGAGAAACCAAACGCTCGCACTAACACACGAGATTCCTTGAAAACACTTCGCATCTTTTCGCGTATCCCGAATGGCACGATGCACTTCCCCCGACGGCCCGTCAATTTCTAAGTTTTCGTGTCCGTCACAGTCGTGTTGCGTCGGTCTTTCATACAAATCCTTCAGCTGCGATATTCTTGTTTGTCTATCCATCCTCGCCCTTTTCCTCATCCCCCGTCTCCTCCTCTGAGACAGCGTCTTTCTTGCATTTGTAACTTTGCTTCGGTGTGTGCCCGTCGCCTCCCTGGCCGCTGTGTCGCTTCACTGGGCTCAACCAGTGGGAGCGGCGTTGTGCCCCGGGGTGTGGAGGGAGTCGCGCTATGACGGGCTTTCGGCCGCAATCAGCATAGCTAGAAAGGGTGCGTGACATTACCGCCTGTCCCTCGTCGGCGGTCGGGCCCAGACCTGCTCTCGCCAGGCAGCTCCGAGTCGCCGCGGCGGGAGGCCCAGCGCCGGCGCGAACACCCTGGACGCCGTTGACCTGCGCATTGCGAAAAAAACGCGCGCGTCGTTCGCATGCCACTTCGTCGACGCGCGAGCGGTCAAACATGTAGCTCTTGCCCCGGCGCCGCGCAGATTTCGCCTGAAAGTGGCGCTCCAATTTCGACGCAGCGCATATTTTTCACTCGCCAACTTAGGCGGGCCTGCGAGGGTGGGCAACTTGTCGCCCTCGCAGAACTCCGTGCGCATGTCGCTCAGAAAAGGTGTCTTGCGTGAGCGCGGCGCATGGTTCGTTCTCCGGGTCGCGCGAAAGCGACAGCGGCAGAAGGGCCGCGCGAGAGCAGGCGAAATGCTGACCTCGCACAAGCGACGCGCATGCTTCGTTTTCGCCGCGCTCATCGGAAGTTTTGCCGCTCCCACCCCTGCGCGGCCCGTCTACTTTCCCCTCGCCGAATCGTCGGAAGCGGGGCCGCGCGCGAGCGCCTTCCGTTTGCAAGATGAGACGCGTTCCAATCCCAATATATAGGAGCCCTCTGACTCGCTCGACCTGGCGAATTTGACTCCCAACTCCTCCTCCTCCTCCTCCTCCTCCTCCTCCTCCTCAACTTTCCCTTCCTCTTCCTCCGCGTGCTTCTCCTCAATATGTTCCTTCTGTACTCCGCCTCATTCTCCGCTTCCTCCGCCTGCTGCTGCTTCTGTTCCTCGTCTGTCCTGCTGCCGCCACTGCCGCTTGTCCCCCAAACCCCGTGCTCGGGCCTCCGACCTCATGTTTCTTTTTTTCTGACGCGGGTCTCCTGGACAATCCGCGAGACCGAGACCTCGCTGCGGATAGTGCTCGATGGCTCGAGGGCACGAAAACACCACTTGGACAAAGAAATCACCGAACGAGATCCATCATACTTGTCCCAATCATCCTGTGGTGTTGGGTCCTCGTTTTGAAGAAACAGCGCCCCGCGTTCCTCACCTCACCTCACCTCCCGCGCTCCCCCCCTCTTCCCTCATCCCCCTCCTTGCCACTGTCCTCCGCATGTCTCTGTCTCGGCACGCCCAGCACAGCGCTCCGTGGCCCCATAGGGAGCTCCACCAGAGGCCCCAGTGGCAGGGTTCGCGTGGCACCACCGCACCGATCTCGGCACACCCTCACACGTTTCGTGGCCCCATAAGGAGCTCCACCGGAGGCGCAGTGGCAGGGTTCGCATGGCGCCACAGCGCCGATCTCGGCACACCCCTCACACGCGTCGTGGCCCCATAGGGAGCTCCACTGAAGGCCCCTGTGGCATGGTTCGCATGGCGCCACCGCGCCGATCTCGGCACATCCCTCACACGTTTCGAATACATAGGGAGCTTTTCCGACGGCCCCTGTGGCATGGTTCGCATGGCGCCACCGCACCACTGTCGGCACACGCCCCACACGTTTCGTGGCCCTGTAGGGAGCTCCACCGAAGGCCCCAGTGGCAGGGTTCGCATGGCGCCACCGCGCCAATGTTTGCACACCTCTCATACGTTTCGTGGCTCCATAGGGAACTCCACTGGGCGCCCCATTGGCAGGGTTCACATGGCGCCACCACATCCATTTAGGCACACCCTCACACGCGTCGTGGCCCCATAGGGAGCTCCACCGGAGGCCACAATGGCAGGGTTCGCATGGTGCCACCGCACCGATCTCGGAACACCCCTCACACGTTTCGTGGCCCCGTAGGGAGCTCTTCCGAAGGCCCCAGTGGCAGGGTTCGCATGGCGCCACCGCACCCATGTCGGTACACGCCCCATACGTCTCGTGGCCCTGTAGGGAGCTCCACCGAAGGCCCCAGTGGCAGGGTTCGCATTGCGCCACCGCACCACTGTCGGCACACTTCTCACGCTTCGTGGCCCCACAAGGACCTCCGCCGAAGGCCCCAGTGGCAGGGTTCGCATCGCGCCACCGCGCCCATTTCGGCACACCCCTCACGTGATACGCGGCCCCACAGGGAGCTCCACCGAAGGCGGGGCTCACAACTGCGGTACTCACAATGGCATATGGTTGGGTCCTTCGCCAAGATAATTTTGCTACGCCTAGATGCTGTCCGTGTTGTCCGTTGGCTCCCTCCAGGCCTGTCAGGCGTGACCAGCACCCCAGTGGGCTGCACGCCGCATATCACTGGGCTGCTCTTCGTCGCAGGACAGCTTGGGTCTTCGTCGTCGTCGCAGACCACTATGTCTTCCCCGCTGCATGGGCAGATGTCCTGTCAGCTGCAGGGGGGGACAGACACGATAACGAAAGAAAGCGGGAGAGAGAGATATAAAGAAAGAGAGAGAGAGAGAGAGAAAAAAAAAAAGAAGCGAGAGAAAGGGAGAAAGAGAGAGAGAGAGAGAACAATTCCCCAAGACATAGCCAAACCCATCCTCCACACGAAGCAGATCTTTGAATGGACGCTCCATATTTTTTTAACATCGACAAATCTGCACGATCTGCGCTGCTCAAATCTCCGCCGTGCCTTCGACGAGCCGATTATAATGGCGACACATGCGCAGCTCGACACCTCCCAAAGAACCGCGAAGTCTCGGCTGGATCCGCATACTCCCCTACTATGCCGTGTCTCCCAGGAACCCACGAAAAGGGCGACCATTGCGCAGGTCGCACTCCCCCAAGGAACAAGAAGGCCCCGCTTGGGTGCGCGTACTCCCCGATTCCCGACTCCGCTGTGCCTCACGAACATGACGACACTTGCGCAATTCGCAACCACCCGAAGAGCAGCGAGGTGCCGGCTGGGTGCGCGTACTCCCTCGCAACCCTCCATGGAGCAGCGAAGTCTCGGCTGGGTCCGCGTACTCCGCTACTCCGCCGTGTCCCCCAAGAGCCCACGACAATTAGAGGGCAGAAAATCCACCCCGATAGTAACCACCCCGACACCCGAGGCCTTTAGTAAACGCGCCCAAAGAAGGAATCGAACAAGGCAAAACTGTTTAATAAACGCCCAAAGCCGTTTGGTAAACGTCAATTGTCCTGTCCGGGTGGTTTTTCCTCCCTTGAACAATGGCGCCAATTGCGCAGTTCCCAGCCACCCTAGGAGCTGCGAGGTCTCGGCTGGGTCCGCGTACTACCCAATTCCGCCGTGCCTCCCAGAAGCCAGCGAGCGTGGCGACAATTACGCAGTTCGCAACTCCCCAAGGAGCTGCGAGGTCCGCCTGGTTGCGCGTACTCCGCTACTCCGCCGTGCCTCCCATGAACCCACTAACGTGGCGCCCGTTGTGCAATTGCAGCCCCCCCTCAAAAGGAGCAGCGAAATCTCGGATTGGTCCGTGTGCTCCGCTTCTCCGCGGTGCCTCTCGCAACCACTGCGCTGGGTCTGTGTGCCCCGCTACTCCACGAACGTGGCGACCATTGCGCAATGGGGCAACGACGTCCCGCCTGGGTCCGTTTACTCCAC